TTGTAAAAAATATTTAGGGACTAATTTCTATCGTCGTGAGGATAGTCGCTAAAAAGTTGTCCTGAAAAATAAAAAATAAGGCTTTTAGCGATAAAATTTCGAAAATGTCAATAATAAATAGACTTATAGGGACAAAATAATTTGGTTTCAAAATGGTTGATTTTTTTAGATAAAAAATTTGATACCAAAAAGATAATAATTAATCACTAATGTTCAATTTTTGTTGTTAAAAATATAATAACGACACTTTTTGTAACAAAAATATTTGGTCTCCTAAAAATAATTGTGTCCCTAAATTTTGGTCTCTAAAACCTTAATTTTTTGTAGTGTAATAAATGTTTTTCCATTTTAATTTTGCATTTCATAACTTATTTAAAAATGATAATTTAGCTAAACCGCATGAGAGGAATCTGTAATTTAGCTAAATCTCAGGGAGAAATCTGTAATTTAGTTAAACCTCAAGGGGGTGTAGGTAATTTGCCTTATTTGTCAAAAGGGCAATTTAGCCAATTTATGATATCCGTTAACGACATTAATTGCGATGAGGTGGGATGTAATTTTTTATACTTCAGGAAAAAATTTGTAATTTCATTAAATCTCAAGGGAGGTGTAGGTAATTTGCCCTAAAATCAAATATCTCAATTTTACAAGAAAGTTAATTTATTATTGAATTAATTTAAACTCATTTTAGTGATCTAAATCGTTTATTTTATAAAATTAAAAAAATTATTCATACAAAAAATTAAGTTGATCCAACACCAATTGTCATATTATTAGATCATTTTGATTTATATGACTTATATTCTCTTAAGAATGGACCATCAATATGTTATAATATGCATATGATCATTTATGTCTAATTAATTTAATTTTTTAACTTGTCATATAAGATCAATGATTCAAATATATTAAAATTTAACTATGAAATTTAAAATTTTCAAATTTCGTAGTTGTTCAAAAAAAAACTTTGGTAAATCTAAACTCGAAAGTAAGGGATCCTCGTCACGTCAGCCTCGTATAGATCAGTTTGAGTTTGAAAATTTTATAACGTGGACAGTACATTCTAGTTAAAAACAATAAATAAATAAAAAAATTCAAGTATCTATAATGTAGAATTTAATTATAAAATTATGAGGTGATTAAATTTATAGTAAACTTGACTGTAAGATTTTTATGGTGTTTTTGCTCATGACACAAATTAATTTTGGTTTTGAGAATTTTTTTTTTTTTTTTTAGATGTGATTATGACTTGATTGTGAGATTGTAACGTCTTATTATGAAGCATTATTTTGAATGAAATTTTGGCTTGTTTTGGTAAGTCGGTAAACAATCATTTTTTTTGGTTTTAACATATTTTGAATTACATTATTTTTCTATTTTTTTACACATTATTAAAAAATAATTAAAAAAATTAAAAAATTCACTTTTAACGTACTTTCCAAAACAACTCATGAAGTGTATTTTGGGAGGTATGTATAGCAGCACTTCAATGTCAAGTCAATCATTTTTTTAGGACATCTCAAATTGAGATTTTTTTATTATTATTATATACATATAGGTTATTAGTTTTTTTTAATTGTAATTTTTTTCATTCAAGTTTAACTCTTTTTGTTTTTTTCAAGATACAAATTATTATAACATACATTTTTAAATTGATAATATTGCTAATAAAAAGATGGGGGGAGGGGGTGTTCAATGGATGTCGTTTTGCAAGGTTTAGTACTGACCACATAGCCTTTATTTGGAGTCTAATTTTGTTCACAATAAAATATATTTCATATTGAAAAATGCTACAACACGCGCACATTTCTTTGTTATAAAAAATAAATAAATAATTATAAATTTTTATAATATTAATTAAAAAAATTGCGATGTAATTATAATAATTTTATGCTTTCAAAAATTCCCAATCACAAATCATTATTGTGATTACATTAGTGCAAAAATTCCAAATATGAATGAACTGTATTACATTTGATGTGAAATCTCTTGACCCCCAGAGTGACTGCACTATGCACATACTACACAACAAGTTGACATCAGTCAATTTTAGTTTGATGTCTGTGTTCCATGATGGACTAAAATTGACTATCAGGATAGCCCTTTCAAGTAAGTGTGCAAGACTATCGGGATAAAATCCAAATATACATGTCTAAAACCCGATCAGCCTTGAGAGGGGAGATTTGCACCGTTAGTACGGCCGAGCAACGATAGCGCGGGTCGTGATAGACTTCACGGCGTCATGCCGTTCCCCCCACTAGTGCGGTCTACTGGTCCGTTTTGCACGGTGATGGGGATTGACCGGGCAAGCATAGGCCATGGCCACGGTCGGGCAGACGTAGGCTGTGGCTTGACCGAGTAGTGACTCACTTACATTTGACAGAGCGGCACTGGTGTGGTGACCGAGTTAAATTGGCCCGGGCTAGAATATGGACGCGGTTAGGGCTGGCACGCCTCTGATCGATCAGCTGAGACAAGTGGGCTTCGTGTGACCGAGAATGAAGGTAGGACGGGTGGAGGCTGGCATACCTCGCAACCAGTTAGCCTAATGAACCAGTCAATATCAGCTCGGCCATGAGCATCGCTCTTTGGCCCCTTTTGCCAAGGGACAGGCCGACGATACATAGCTCGGTCGTGCGCATGTGATGGCAACCCTCCACTAGTGATAAGCCGGTCGTGGTACTCCGGTTCAGTGTGCCACCTGGGCCAATGGCGTGAGCGAGGGGAAATCTGCTCCAGGCATGCGCCAATACCGTTGGACAGTTCTGCATGTACTGGTGGGAGGATTAAGCCTTTACACGCGTAAGGTGGTGAGAAGCGAGCGCTGCCTGTCCAGGGAAGGACAGCAGAGGTAGTGCGCGCACAATCTTGAGGCTGCATGGCCAGCCTAGAAATATGGAGAAAGGCAAACGTTGGAGGTATGAAAAATTCACTTTATCACCAGCACTCTCTCCCTCTCTGGTAGCCTTCTTCTTCCTCCAGTGGTCTGACTTGATCGTCGGAGGGTCTATCCGGCACACCACCGACGGGCAGCTCACTATTTCTGTGTTGCAGAGATAGATGCCGTCTCGAGAAGCTTGACATCCAAGGAGTACGGAAAGCAAAAGATATTTCGCCCCCGTACAATTGGCGCCGTCTGTGGAAAAAGTTTGATACTCAACCCTTGTTCTTCGAGCTTCTTCGACCATTTCCATGGCCAACAACGACGAAGTCCTACTGTCCGTCGTCGATGGCGTCACACCTGAGTATGTCTGCCTGAGAGATGGCCCCCCGAATATTCCAGCCATAGCGGGCCTAGAGACTTCTTCGCGAGGTGTGCGAGACAAACGCGGGAGGAGTACTGATCGCTCGCAGAGTCCAAAGGGCCGCTGACGCCGGGGGGAGTCACATGCGCAGCGCCTAGAGCACAAACTCAAGGACCAAGACGCTCTCATTCGCAAGATGGCGGCGGAGATGGAGCTGCTAAAACGCCAGATTAAAGGGAAAGGTGTTGCTGGAAAAGGCAACCTCAGTGAGCGCACCCCGTCCCCCCGTTGTAGCAGTCGCCGCCAGGGGAGGACTCACTCTCTCTCCATCACCAGGAACTATGGGGTTGGAGATTCTGACCAAAGAGAGGGCGGGTCCCTCTCTCGCGACAGCACTTACCACCCCTCGCGCCCTACGCCGACGTCACGATCCTCTTTCTCCACACGTTCCAGGGACTTGAGGGATGTATTGGAAGAGAGGGCGCGCCGTCGGGAGGCTCAGAGAGTGCCGGCATTGCAGAGGTTGAGCGCTCCAGTTCGTTGCAGTGAAGAAGTGGCGATGCCAGCCCCCAAAGTGATAGCCCCTACGTTGGTGGACAAAGAGCTGGCACGGCTTACAGCTACGCCGCTGTCTCCAGAGATTGAGAGTACACCACTCCCCGCCGGATTCCACCAGCCAAAGTTCACTTTGTACGATGGCAAGACGGATCCGTACATGCATGTAACGTCCTCAAAATAAACCCATTATATACATTTCATTGACATGCATTATTCAAAGAAAACAATTTATTAATTCATTCATCAGAGTATTACTAAACGAAAACATAACATATAACATCAAATTAAATGCCCTACAGGCTTACATCTTTCCAAGCCAACACTTGGATACAAAAATATGAGTTCTAACTCAATACAAGGAAAGCCCTAGGCTTGAATGTTTACATGTACTAATAAATAAAGACAATTAACTAAGATAGTCTTCTTCAAAATCCAGAAGCCAAGCCCTCCCAAGCTAAGTCCTTGGAGGTAGCTTTTCACCTGAACCTGAAAATGATGTTCCCATAAAGGGTGAGCCACAGCCCAGTAGAAATATACTAAACCAAATATAAGCATTGAATAAAGCAATGGCATTCAATAGATGGTTAACCAAGATAATCAATTACATCATTATACAGTTTCATGACACTAATGTCTAAGACACGTTTTACTTTCCAACATTATCAATATGGCTCAGAACCTGGCCAAACCTACAACAGTGAATTATATATAAATCATATTCACATTCTTCCAATCTCAACAAACAAATGAGACTCAAGCTCAAATCAAAACACTTCATACTTCCAGATTGATACACATTTTAGTGCTGTATCAATAAAAACACTTCTATATAAATAAGCACACATACTGGTGGACAAAGAGCTGGCGCGACTTACAGCCACCCCGCTGTCTCCAAAGATTGAGAGTACACCACTCCCCGCCGGATTCCACCAGCCAAAGTTCACTTTGTACGATGGCAAGACGGATCCGTACATGTATGTGAGCCATTACCGGCAAGTGATGGCTGGCCACCGGCGCAATGACGCCTTGATGTGCCTCATATTCCCAGCAAGCCTAGGAGAGCTGGGTTTGAAGTGGTTTGAAAGGCTCCCGGAGGGTAGTATTGAGGGGTGGCAGCAACTAGCGGAAGCCTTCGTCACCAGATTCAAAACCAACACACGAACGCCAAAGGAGGTCGACCATCTCCTGGGCATCAAGATGGAGTCTGGATGTTCGTTGAAGGTGTACAATGCGAAGTACTGGGAAACTTACAATGAGATCCTCGACTGCCCTACCAATCTGGCAATCACCCAGTACAAGCGAGGTCTCCCAATCGGACATAGACTGCGAGATTCGCTCACGATGCATCAGCCCGCGACTATGGAGTCCTTGATGCAGCGGATCAATGAGCACATCCGTGTGGAGGAGGATGCCGCCACTGTGACCGAGAAGACTAATCCGGTCACGGCGAACAGAAGGGTGGCAGTGAAAGTTCACTCGGTTGGGCAGGAGGATAACCGCCCAAACAACCGGTCAAAAGATCAGCGCCATGGTTCAAACCGTGATGACAGAAACAAGGGCCGCCGAAACGACCGGGCTGACACTCCTCGCGACGCTGCTGAAGATGCCAAGAGAAAATTGAAGGTGCGAACAGGAATCACCACGGTCTTCAAAATTCCCATATACCGCATTTTGAGCGAGATCCGAGGTGAGCCTTTTGTCCGCTGGCCGGCCAAGTTAGGGAGTGCGCAGCGAGGCTTCAATTCAAAATATCGCTGCACCTTTCATGAAGAACGGGGGCACTGAACAGAGGACTACATGCCGCTCAAACAACACTTAGAGGAGTTGGTGGCGGCGGGGCATCTTGACCAATACATAGATGGGGGCATCAAGGCCACGCCAGCGGACCAAGCCGAGCCAAATGGCCTCGCCGCCCTAGAAGCGCCCTCGCAAGGTGTAATTAACGTCATCCACGGCATCATTGAACCGGCAAGGGTCTGCGAGCTTAGAGGGATGATCAAGAGAGCCGAGCACATGAGGGAAGTGCTCTCTGTCCAGCCCGCCGTAAAGAGGGAAAAGACCGAAGAGAGGGACATCCTTTCGTTCTCAACCAAAGACTTGGAAAGGGTTCAGATGCCGCACAACGATGCTTTAGTGGTGACACTTCGCGTCAAAGACTTTGATATCAAGAGAGTCTTGATCGACCAGGGGAGTTCGGTCGAAATTATGTATTATGACGTATTCAAACAAATGAGGTTAGAGGACAAGGACTTGGCCCCCGCGACATCCCCTTTGGTTGGCTTCAACTCTCAGCCAGAATGGCCGATCGGAAAGATTATTTTGCCTGTCAAAGCGGGATCGGTCGTAAAGCAAGTAGAATTCTGGGTGCTCAAAGTTCATCGACTTACAACTTGATCTTAGGCAGGGGCTGGCTGCACGCCATGCAAGCAGTGGCTTCGACCTTCCACCAAGTCATGCGCTTTCCGGCACCAAGCGGACAAGTAGAGGAAGTTTGGGGGGACCAGGTGATGGCAAAACAGTGCTTCGTTGCGGTAAATGGCAGCCGAGCTGCCAAAGGGTTCGTCCAAATGATTGAGGGGCCCGAGGGTAAAGAGCTCCTTGAAGACGTAGGGAGAAAGGCCGAGGAAAAATTGGTCGAAGATTTGGTGGAAGTGCGCATTGACGAGAACGATCCAACTAAATTCTTCCTCTTGGGATCATCCTTGTGTAGCGCCAAGCGGATGGATTATGTCAACTTCTTGGTTTCCAATTTGGAGGCCTTTGCATGGACGCCCTACGATATGCCTAGCGTTGATCCAAGCTTCATTTGCCATCAGTTGAATGTCTTCCCAGATGCACGGCCCGTCATTCAAAGGACGCGCCACTCAGCCTTGCACCATGCTGAAGTGGTGGCAGAAGAAGTGAAGAATTTGTTGGAAACTGGGGCCATAGAGGAGGTGCAATACCCTCGGTGGATATCTAACACGGTGGTTGTTCCGAAGAAGAACAGCAAGTGGCAAGTCTGCGTTGACTATAAGACTGTCAACCGCGCTTACCCGAAGGATAGCTTTCCCCTCCCACGAATCGACCAGCTGATGGACTTAACTGCTGGCCATCAGAGGTTTAGCTTCTTGGACGCATATCGCGGCTACCACCAGATAGACATGTATAAACCGGACAAAGAGGTCACATCGTTCGCAACCCCCAGAGGCTTATATTGCTACAAGGTCATGCTGTTCGGACTAAAGAACGCCGGGGCGACTTTTCAGAGGATGGTAACGAAGATGTTCGCTCCTTTTTTGGGCCGAACAATGGAGGCCTATATCGACGACATGGTGGTGAAGAGTAGGGAGAAGTCTCAACACCTCGCCGAACTAGCAGAAATGTTTTCCATCCTAAAGCGCCACAAGCTTCGTCTGAACGCCTCCAAATGCGCCTTCGGAGTTGGCACAGGGAAGTTCCTGGGTTTTCTGGTTCCAAACCGGGGAATCGAAGCTGACCCATCACAAATCAAGGCAATACAAGAGCTGGAGCGTCCTAACTCCTCGAAGGACGTGTAACATCTTGCCAGGATGGCAGCCGCGTTGAACAGATTTATCAGCCGGTCTTCGGATCGTTGCAGGCCCTTCTTTAAAATTTTGAAGTCCAAGTTCTTCTGGGATGATGAGTGCAACCGCGCACTAGCAGACCTGAAAGCATATCTCTCCTCAGCCCCTATTTTGGTCACACCCCAGCCGGGCGAAGAGTTGTCCCTCTACTTGGCTGTCTCTCAACACGCGGTCAGCGCGATATTGGTCCGTGCTGAAGGCATCCAACACCTACCGATCTTCTATGTAAGCAAGACTCTGCTCCCAGCTGAAACGAGATATCTTCCCTTGGAAAAATTGGCGCTGGCCCTAATTATGGGGTCGAGAAAGCTGGCACACTATTTTCATGCCCATACAATAGTTGTGTTAACCGAGTTCCCGCTCAAGGTGCTTTTTGAAAAGGCAAACTTCACTGGAAGAATTTTGAAATAGGCCGTGGAATTAGGGCAATATGACGTCAAGTTCCGACCGCGCATGGCAATTAAGGCTCAAGCACTTGCTGACTTTTGTGGCGAAATTTGCCCCTGGGATGCATCCAGTCTGCCCGATTGATTGGTTGGGGCGGATTTAGCACAACCCATGGTTCTGGCAACAAAAACAAGTGTTGGCTTGCAAGTAGGAGAAGGGCAAAGCGCGACCGAGCTAACAAAGTCTGGCGAAGATGTACCCAACCAAGACAAAGAAAAAGACCAGGATGGACCGACCATAGACTTGGCACTGAGAACCTCCCAAAACCCGTCTGATTGCTGGAAGCTGTTCATTGGAGAGATGTGGAAGCTCTTTGTCGATGGGGCGTCCAACAGGCACGGGGCCGGGCTTGGCATCGTGCTGACCTCACTGGACGGACTGATCATCGAGCAGGCAATTACACTCGGCTTCCCAGCATCTAACAACGAGGCTGAGTATGAAGCCCTCCTTGCCGGACTAAAAAGCGCGCTGAGAATGAAAGCCACAGCCCTTATGGTATTCAGTGATTCCAAGTTGGTGGTCAATCAGGTCTCAGGGGAGTATGAGGCCAGGGATGAAAGTATGGCCAAGTATCAGGTACTGGTACGCGCGGAGATCAAGAAGTTCGCCGCTATAAGGATGGAACAAATTAACCGCAAAGAAAACAACACGGCTGACGAATTGGCTGGACTCGCTTCTACTCAAACAGCCTTTCCCAATCCCTTAATGATCGAATTTTTACCGCGGCCAAGTATAGAGGAACCAGCGGTAACCGAGGTACTTTGCACTGACTTAGGTCCTTCTTGGATGGATCCTATCATCGCCTTCCTAAAAGATAGAATTCTACCGGAAGAAAAGAAGGCGGCCCATAAGATCAGGGCAAAGTCAGAGCGGTTTTGGCTCTCATCGTCCGGAGCCTTGTATAAGAAGTCCTTTTCCGGGCCGTATTTGAAGTGTGTCCACCCTGCCAAGGTGGAAATTTTTCTCTACGAGATCTATGAAGGCATCTACGGCAGCCATACTGAGGGCAGATCCTTGGCTTACCGAGCAATTTCTCAGGGTTATTGGTGGCCGTGCATGTGGGCAGATGCGCAAAAATATGTTCACAGGTGCGAGAAGTGTCAGAAGTTCGCCCACCAGATCCACTAGCCAGCTAAAGATTTGCTCCCTCTCACAAGTCCTTGGTCGTTCGCGCTCTGGGGATTGGATATTGTTGGACCACTCCCAGCAGCACCAGACAATCGCAAGTTCTTCATCGCTGCGACCGACTACTTCACCAAGTGGGTCGAGGCTGAGCCACTAGCGACCATAAAGGAAAAGGATGTGAAGAAGTTTGTTTGGAAAAATGTAATCACTCGCTTCGGTATACCCAAGGCCCTCATCTCGGATAATGGCACTCAATTCGACGGGAAACTCTTTCGCGGATTTTGTGAAGAGTTGAAGATTGAGTTCTACAATTCAACGCCGGCCTATCCCCAGTCAAACGGTCAAGTAGAGGCCTCAAACAAGACCATCTTGGACGGGTTGAAGAAGCGACTTGAGAAGGCCAAGGGGAAGTGGGCTGAAGAACTCCCTAATGTGCTTTGGGCATACCGCACCACGCCAAGGCGGTTGACCGGAGAGACACCATTTGCCTTGGCCTATGGCATGGAGGCTGTCATCCCGCTGGAAATTGGCATGCCAACCATCCGGTCTGAGAATTTCGAGCCAGATCTGAACAATGAAGCAATGGCACTGGAGCTAGACCTAGCCGAGGAAAGAAGGGAGCGGGCTTTAATCCACATAGCGGCTTATCAGCAAGAACTCTCCAAAAAATACAACAAGCCAATGCACCCCAGGCTATTCAAGATTGGGGACTGGTTCTTAAGAAAGGTGCTTGGCAATACGGTGGTCCCTTGTGAAGGAAAGCTCGGTGCAAATTGGGAATGACCATACAAGGTGATTGATCTTGCTGGTAAAGGGGCATACCATCTGGAAGATTTACATGGCAAGGCTGTCCCCAGACCATGGAATGCGGCCAACCTTAAGGTCTTTTACTTTTAAGATGTAATTTGCTTGTGTTGTTTAGCTTTTCTAGACCTTTAGCCTTTTGGCACTTGATGTAAAAGATAGCAATGCTTTTGTAATGAAAAATAGCCCTCTTGTTGTTTGGTATTACATCTTTGTACAATGACATCGCAAGGACGCAAGGCAATTATGGATGCCAGGGACAAGGAGACCGACCTGAATGGGACCGGGCTGATTTCCTCTAGCCGGAATGGAAACAGACCGCACAAACAGTTGGGTGCATTGTCCAGCGATATAATTGGCGTATGGACCAATTCGCATTAGGGTCTAGCTGGTTTTGCTCGCCCGGTTGAAATGTTAGCGTCATGTCCAACTTAACGGAAACATTGGTGTTTTGCCAAATGTAAGGACCGAGCTGATTTGGCTCGGCCCAGTTGGCGTATTGGTGTCTTGCCCAATATGGAAAATGAGCGGAGTTTGCTCGACAAAAATCGCAATGTTAGAGTTGTCCAACCGATAAAAAGCCGAGCTGACTTTGCTTGGCAGAAAAGAAATGTTGGCGGCTTACCCAACTTAAAAGGCGAGCTGATTTTGCTCGGTCACGTTGAAGTATTGGAATTCTACGTCTACAAACCAGTCAAGGCCGAGTAGATTTTGCTCGGCCGAGTTAAAATGTCAGTTCATTTCAAAGTTCGAGGAGCCGAACTGCTAGTTCTGATTTGAAAACGTTTAAGGCAATTTTAGCTCGGCAAATTGTGCGGCATA